AATAAATTCTAGGAGAAACGAACATTAAGAGTAGGAAGAATTTATTGAGAGAAAGAAAGGTTCTGTCCAAGAGAGACATAGGGGACCAGAAAGTGTATTGCCTGACAGACCCCACGTCTCAAGGGCTTTTTATTGAGCAAAGCCAGGAGGTGAGGCGGGTTCAAGGCGGGACAAAAGTAGAATCAACCAATAAGATCACAAATATAGTCACTTACGTAACATTGATCCAATGGGAAGTCGTAAAGTGGATATGAGGTGGGACAAAACTGCTGAGCCAATAAGATTATAACAAGTTGTTGCTTAATAGTGATTAAATGGGGATCAAATGGGGAAGCAAGTCACTTAGCAAGCTCCCGTGGAAGGAACAAGGACCGTCCTGGAAGGAATGGGCTAGGGAGGTTTTGGACCCCCACCCAAGGTGAATGATGCCCATTTAGAATAGCAATCCCTGCTGTTCATCCCTAAGGGAGGTAGGTGGGTGTAGTCGGTCCTCTTTTTCTTGAAGCCTGCTCTTCAGTGAATGCGCCTCCAGCCACAAATGTCTTCGATACTGAGGGCCCATCCCTGTCTAACTGCCTATAATATTTATAACTAACATAACTGTCTACAGTACTCTCACAGCATACAGGGGATTTTCCAGAGGCTGTGTGATGTGACATCACAACAGACTGAATGCAGGAGCAGGTGGAAGAAGCCAATTGTCTTTTACTGAGGCAGACATTGGGATTTGCAAAACTATGCCACTCTTCACTTTTTTTTTTCTTTTTGAGACAGGGTCTCACTGTGCAGTTCAGGCTGGCCTTTTTTTTTTTTTTTTAAGATATCAGTTTATTATAAAAGAGACATGGAAATTATTTACATGATGAAAGATTGCAGAACTTCAATGGAATGGGCAACGTTGTGATGCCATCTCAACAGCGATTTGTTTCACTCTACATATTTTCCAAGAATGTCACCATCTCTAAATAAGAGATAGTCCTTGTCGTCTAGAACTACTGTGGTGCCTCCATATTCTGGAAGAAGAACTTTATCTCCGACTTTCACACTAACTGGTTGGATCTCTCCGCCCTTTCCCTTGGAGCCCTACCCCACAGCTACCACAGTTGCCTGCAGTACTTTGCCTTGAGACTTTTCTGGAAGCATAATGGCTCCTTTGGTGACAGTTTCAGCTGCACTCCTTTCAACCAATACTCAGTCAAACAGTGGGAGAAACTTCCGAAATGCCTGTCCTGCCATGGCTCCCACCCCGCAACTCAGACTCCGCTATCGTGCCACCCCCACAAAGAGACACCCGCACTCCAGCCCCAGGACACAAGGCCAGGCTGGCCTTGAGCTCACTTTGTAGCCCAGGGTGGTCTCTAACTCACAAAGATCCTCCTGCCACAGCCTTCCGAGTGCTGAGATTACAGGTTTTCACCACCACACCTGGCCTTGCACATTTCTTTTTGTTCTGGAAAAAGTAGTTCTTTTTCATGAACAACAGCAAAAAACCATCATGGATCCAAGCTGAGCATAATGGTACGTGACTGTAATCCCAGAATTTAGGAGGCTGAGGCAGAAGGATCCCCAAGAGTTTGAGGCCAGCCTGGGCTATATAGTGAGTTCAAGGACAGCCTAGACTACATAGTGAGACTCTTTCTCAAAAACAACAGCAAACATAATGGATCCAGTTTGGGGCATTTTGAATTAGCTACATATTTTGATTTTTTTCCTTCAATGTTGCGGGGACGGGGCTCTAGTTTCTATGACCCCTGCCTTGGGGAAGAGAAATCCTCCTTTCTATGGCATGCCTTGGGTTGAGAGAGGGGAGAAAGGAGGATAGACAATCAAAGAAAAACTTTGTTTGCTAGGCATTCGCTTAGAGTCAGATACTTGAGGTGGGCATGGTGGCGCACGCCTGTAATCCCAGTACTGGGGGGCTGAGGCAGGAGGATCATTGCGAGACCAGCCTGGGCTACAAAGTGAGCTCAAGTCCAGCCTGAACTGCATAGCGAGACCCTGTCTCAAAAAAAGAAGAAAAACAAAGAGAATTCCTAAGAGCAGATCACATGCAAGGGGAGGGACTCAGGCTCCCTCCTTCAATGTGTCCAAGAAAGTGTGGGTCCACACCATCCAGGCTCCGGTTCTATCTGTCTCCGTGCTCCCTCTGGGCCTCCCGACCTCCAGCCTTCGCTGTAGCATCGGAAGGAGGCTGCGTGGTGCAGTTCCTTAAGTGCAGCTTCTCTCAGACAGTTACTGAAGGGCAAGCTCCCAACCTGACACTCCATAGGAGAGAGGCCACTGCTACGACACCCTGCTCCAAAAGGGTGGAGCGAGAGGCCCACCTGAGTCACAGAGCCCACGCCGACATTCTGAAGTCCAGCCAGGCCAACAGTGCTTCTGCTGCCTGTGCCAGGGACGGCGGCGTGGGGAGCCAGCCCCAGCCGCGCTTCCTTCTCCTCCTGCCCGCCTCTTCTGGCTGCGGGAGGAACCAGCCTGGACCACACATTCGCGCCCCATCCCTTTCTGTGCCACACTCCTTAGCTATAGTTTGGGCCCTGCGGTGACACTGGAGAGTTACTCTACCCAGAAGAGGGAGGCCCGGGAGAAAGTCCGTGGGGCCTGAGGCAGCCCAGGACTGGTGGGCGGGAAATCTGCCATCTCCATAGGCAGACTGTGGTCTAGACTACCGAGTGGGCCAACAGGGAGTTCAAGACATATCAAGGGGTGGACACAACCTCCGGTTAGCGAGGGCCCTACTTTAGAGGCAGCTGAGTTAGATAGAAATGTTACAGGCAGTCAGACAGGGCCAGGCCATTGAAGGAGCCAGTATGGAAGACAAGATAGCTTGCAAATGGAGATGTATTTGCTGTGGGCCAGACCTCAAGACAAAGGACTAAACAGGTGTACCCACATACCTCCCTAGGGATGGGCATCAGGGATTGATATTCTAAATAGATAGTGAGCACCTTGAAAAAGCCGGGAAGAGTCACTAGTCCAACCCCCTACAG